CCCCCCTCCCCCCTCCCCCCCGCCGGCCGGCCGCTGGCGTGTTCGTGTCGCGGGCCACACCAGTCCGAGGCGGCCATGAACCCCTCGGCTCGGTATCTGCATGGCCTGCTGCTGTCGGTGCAGGGGGTCCTGGATCGCGAGCAGAGCGCCCTCAACGAGGCCGCGGCCTCCGGCGGTGCCCAATCATCGCAGGCCCCGGCCCCGGCCCAGCCGGAGAACACCCTGACCGCCCTGTGGATGGTTACCTTCCACCGTTTGACCCTGGCGGATTTGGTCCTGCCGGAGCATGCATACCAGTCGGAGCTGGCCCGACTCGGGGCCAGTGCCTCCGAGTCGCCGGGCCCCGAGGAGGGCCACCCGGCGGCCGGGTCCTGGGAGACCGGTGGCTTTGCGCCGGCCCGAGCCGGGACCCCGGTGCCGGAGACCCTGCGCCAGCGGCGGGCACAGGCGGCGGCGGCCCTGCGAGCCGAGCGGGCCCGCGCCCGGGCCCGCGTCACCGACATGGCCGGGCAGCTGCTCCTGGAGTCGCCCTTCTGGCTGACCGGCATCCATTCGACCGCCGGGCAGGGGCTCATCCTGGAGGCGGTGTGCGACCGGGCTGTCCGGTCTCCGGGGGACGCGCTCTTCGCGGCGCACTTCCTCCGGCTGCTGCACAGCACCAACACGCCGTTCTTCATTTCGGTCTACATCCAGCGCACCCTCGGGCGCATCATCTACGGTCAGATGAATGCCTTCACCATCGACGAGGCGTCCAATTATGGGCTCTTCCTGCGGCTGGTCATCGCCATGCTCCTCCGCTGGCAGGACCGCTATGAGGGGGAGTTTGTTGGCCAGTCGCCGGCCGAGGTGCCGGCGGCCGGTGCGTCGCCGGCCGATGGGGCCACCGAGCCGCCGGAGCCGGAGCCGGAGCCGGAGCCGGAGCCCCGGCCTGGCCCGGCCCCGGGGGACCCCGAGGCCGAGGCCTGGGCCGCGGCCGGGGTCCCCATGCCGGCCGGCTTGGATGGGCTGGCCCTGGCGCCGTTGTACGGCTCGCTGCGGAGCTTTAGCTCGGTGCGCACGCTCTTCCTGCCGTCGGAGGCGGCTGGCGATTCGCCCGGCGACGAGCAGCCCTCCGGCGAGGGGCCCCCCCCGGCCGGGACCACCACCCCGACCACCGGGGCCGCCATCGTCCCCGGGCGCACCTTCGACTCGTACCGCAAGGACCTGAATGTCATGTTCAGCATCCTGGCCAACCAGTTCCTGTCGGCCCTGAGCAGCCGCATTCCCACCGTGGTGAATGCCACGTTGACCTGTCTGTCACGCATGACCGACGTCTTCCCCCATGACGAGGCCACCCTGACCACCATCAGCCTGGCCGTGCGCCTGGCCATCGCCGACACCAATGAGGCCAATGCGCGCGCTGCCGGCGGCCCGGAGGCCACTGGCGCGGGTGCCCCTGCCGCCCCGGCCACCGACCCGAATGTCCTCTTCCTGAGTGAGGAGTCTGCCGGCAACCGGAAGCTGACCCTGGCCACCAGGTGCGTGTAGCGCCGGGGGTTTCCTTTGTGCCTTCCCCTTTTTCGGCCCCCTTCGCTGTGGTGCCTTTCTTTTTTTTTTTTTCCTTCGCCCACTGCCCGCTGCTTGTTGCTTGCTGCTGTTCCCGCCCCCGCCCCCGCCCCCGCCCCCGCCCCCCTCCTGTGCTCTCTCTCATATTGACATCGGTCGTGGTTCCCCGGCCCGGCAGTTATCTCCTGCACTTGGAGGGCTTCCACAGTGCTTGGAAGGCCCCGGAGGCGCCAGCCTCGGCGGCCAAGTCCTCGGGCGCACAGGAATCGCGGGGTGCCGGTGCGCGCGGCCGTCCCGAGAGCATCCCTTCGGCGGAGGCGGCCGCCAGCGAGGCCGACTCGCGCTCTGCCTCGGGCATCTTGCGATCTTCGCGGGAGGATGTGTCGGCCGAGGATCCCGAAGCCGGGAGCCAGCGGTCTCGGGCGCGTGAGCGACGCGCCGAGCGTGAACGTGAGCGTGAGCGCGAGCGCGAGCGCGAGCGTGCTGACAAGGATCGCGAAAAGTCGGACAAGGAGCGCCGCCGCGAGCGGAAGAACGAGCGCGAGCGCGAGCGCGAGCGCGAGCGTGAGCGCGACCGTGATCGCGAGCGCGACCGTGAGCGCGACCGTGAGCGCGACCGTGATCGCGAGCGTGACCGTGAGCGTGACCGCGAGCGCGATCGCCCCGATGAGCGCCCCGACAAGACGGAGCGCGCCGAGAAGCCCAGCAAGGCCGAGAAGACCGACAAGTCCAGTAGCAGCAAGGCCAGCAAGGCCGAGAAGGCCGAGCGTGGGGAAAAGTCCTCGCGCTCGGAGCGCGGCGAAAAGCCCGAGCGTGCCTCCAAGGCCGAGCGTGCTGACAAGGCCGAGCGTGCTAACAAGGCCGAGCGTGCTGACAAGGCCGAGCGTGCTGACAAGGCCGAGCGTGCTGACAAGGCCGACAAGGTCGATAAGACCGAGCGTTCCGAGCGGACTGAGCGCTCTGAGCGCTCCGGACGTTCTGAGCGCCCCGAGCGTCCCGAGCGCCCCGAGCGCCCCGAGCGCCCCGAGCGCCCTGAACGCACCGAGCGCATCGAGCGCCCGGACCGCGCTGACGAGCGCCAGCGCGATGCCTCGCCCGCGTGGGAGAAGCTCCCGCATGTGGCGGCTGCCGGCGGCGGCGTCGGTGCCAGCGCCGATCGCCCTGGCCCCCGAGCCGCTGACCGTGGCTCCTCGCCGGCCCCGGCGTTGCAGCTGCCCGCCTCGCGGTCGGGCCTGACCCTGCCCCCGTCTTCGGGGGCCGCCACGGCCGGTCCCAGCGCGGCCGGGGAGCCGATCCGCCGGCCGCGCCCGCGTGCCGTCCTCCTGGCTGACCAGGCTTCTGCGGCCGGGGCCAGCACCTCGGCGGCTTCGTCGCCTGTGGTGCCGCTGGCGAGCGCCGCCGCGGCGCCGGCCGTGGCTCCTCCGGTGGCGCCGGTTGCGGCACCGGCCGCGACGCTACGCCCGGCGCCCCGCCGCGAGGCATCGCCCCTCCCTTCGGCCACCGTGGGTGCCCCTGCCGGCGAGGAGATCTTCCGGCCGCGGCCGCGGTCCAGCACGCCCTCCTCGACGTCCGGCAGCACCAGCAGCCAGGGCGCCTCGCCGCGACTGCCACCGGCCGCGGATGAGGCCGCTCGTCCATCGGCCCAGCGACTTCCGGAGTCCGGCTCCGAGCTGCCATCCGGCCTGCGGAAGCGCCAATGGTCCGAGGTATCTGAGGTGCGTGCTTCTTCCTCCCCGCCCGCCCGCCCTCCCTCCCCCCGGGCCGGCGTGCTGTTTTTCTCTTTTTCCTTCTTCGCCCCTCGCAGCCTGACTAACCCGTCTCCGGTTGTGGCTTGCCGCTTTCTTGCCGCTCGTCGTCTTGCCTCTTCGTGGCCCGACCCAGTCGGATGCCGACCGCCCGATCAAGCGCCCCGGGCTGTCCCCCTCGCCGGGGCCCTCCAGCTCGACGGCCTCCCTGGCCGAGGGTCGCCTGGCCATGAGCGACTCGGCCGAGGCCGCACGCCGCCGGGAGGACCGCGCCCGGCGCTTCGCCGCCAGCTCCGAGACGTCGGAGCAGTCGCCCTCGACCGCGGCCTCTCGGCGTTGGGGCGAGCCCTCGCCTGCCGGCCCCGGGGACATTGGCGGCCCGGGCGACGGCGGCCGGGGTGACCGCGGTGGCGAGCGTCCCGCCCGTGGTGAGCGCTCGGATCGCGGTGACCGCGGCGACCGCCTGGACCGCCACGACCGCCACGACCGCGGTGACCGCGGCGACCGCGGCGACCGTGGCGACCGTGGCGACCGCGGCCCTCTGTCGCGCGGCGGCCCGCCGCCCCCGGGGTCTCGCGGCCGCTCGCCCGACCCCCGGTCGCACCAGCAGCGCAGCCCGCCGCCCGGCTTCGAGCATTCCTTCCCCGATGATGGGCCTCCTTCGTACCACCCCCACCCCCACCACCACCATCACCACCCCCACCCCCACCCCCACCACCATGGGGGCCCGTTCGGTGGCCGGCGGGGTGGCCGTGGCGGCGGCCCCTTCTCCGGCGGCCCCCCCGGGCGCGACCTCCGCCGAGGCCCGCCGCCCCCGGCCGACCGGCGCGAGCACCACCACCCGTCCGGTGGCGGGCCGTCTGGGCGTGGGCGGCGGTGATCCCCCATCTGCCAACGCACCATCTCAATAGATCCTCCCCCGTGTGTTTCTCTGTGTGTGTGTGTGTGTGTGTGTGTGTGTGTGTGTGTCGGGTGCCCGGGTGCCCGGGTGCCGTGTGGCGGCGGCCGAGTGTGTGCTTTACCGGGCCCCTGTGTGGTGTCCGGTGTCGGCTGGCGGGCGCGCGCCTCACCCACCATCGTGCGGCGCGGGCCCGGCTTCTCGGCCCCCCCCCGCCGATCCCCCAGAACACCAACGCCAAGGAGCGCGTGTCCCCGACCCGCGACGGGGCTGCCCCGGATCCATATACATGACTGTCTGCCTGGAGGTGTGTGCGTGTGTGTGTGCGTGGCTGGCGGTGGCATTTGGGCCACGGCGGCCCGCGGCTGTGCCCCGGCGAGTTGGACACACTCTCAGCCCCCTGGCTTCCGGTTTGTCCTTCGCCCCGCTGTTGCTCTTGCCTTGCCCGGCTCCGGCCCGCCCCTTGCCTCTTGGCCGCCTGCCCCTTCGGCCCTCTTGTCCGGGTCCCTCCTCCGGATCCCTTCGCTTGTGGCTGGAGAGCTCTCTTCTTCGGCCTTCCCCTGCCCCCGAGGCCGGTTTCCCTTGCCCTGCTTGTGACATGCTCCGGGCGGCGGTATCTCGACAGCCGCGCCGCGGTGGCAGCCCCGGGGCGGTGGCCGCACGCGCGCTGGCCTCGACATCCGGCGACCGTCCGGGTGACGCCCGGCCGGGCGCCGGGTCGTGGATTAGCATCGGCGGGGCGACCTTCCCCACGAAGGCCCCCTCCGGGGCGGATGCCCTGGTTCCTGCCTGGCCGACGGCCGCCCTGCCGCCCACTCCCTGGGTGATGCGCCATGTCCGGTGGCTGCTGCAAAAGCGCGCCCTCGGGCAGGATGCCTTCCTGATTGGCCCGCCCGGGCCGGTCCGCCGGCGGCTGGCCCACTTGGAGGCCTGGCTGTCGCGGTCGCCGGTCGAGTACATGATGATCAGCCGCGACACGAGCGAGGTGCGTCCCGGTGCCGAGGGGGGGGGGGGGGGGGGATTGGTGCCTGGCCTGCTGCCGCGGGGCCAGCTCGCCGGCTGGCCCGGGCCCCGTTCTGCCTGCCGGGCTCGATCGCTTGCCGCCGCATGTGGCCCGGTGGGCTCCCCGCTAACCATGGTTCTCCCTCGCGCCCGATCGGTGCCCCGGTCGCACGCGGGTCCGCCCCCCTCTCCCGGCCGCGCTCAATAGGCCGATCTGAAGCAGCGCCGGGATCTGACCGGCGGTCAGCTTGTGTACACCGACCAGCCGGCCGTGCGAGCTGCCCTGCACGGGCGGACCCTGCTCCTGGATGGGGTCGAGCGCGCCGAGCGAAATGTCCTGCCGACCTTGAACAATCTCCTGGAGAACCGGGAGATGGCCCTCGAGGATGGCAGCCTGATTGTCAGCCCGCGGCGGTATGGCGAGCTGGCGGCCGAGCGCCGGGCGGCCGGCCGGGCGGCCGACGACCTGGGCGCCTGGCGCCTGTTGCCGGCCTCCGAGGACTTCCATGTGGTGGCCCTGGGCCTGCCGGTGCCGCCATACGGAGGGCCCGGGGCGGCTCCCCTGGACCCGCCCTTCCGGTCGCGCTTCCAGGCCCGGTACATCGGCGAGCCGGATGACGAGACCCTGCTGGCCCTGGCGGCCCCGACCCCCGGGGAGTGGTGGCGCTTTGATGGCGACGCCGGCCCCGATGAGGATGGCTCCTTCCCGGTGGATGATGCGTGGTCGATGCGCGCGGCCGAGGCGGCCCTCGGCCTGCGCAAGACGTGGCGCTCCTTCGAGCTGGACCCGGCCGTGGCGGCCGGCGACCAGCTGGCCCTCAGCCCGAGCGACCTGCTGTTGGGCGGGGGCGCCGGGGCCCAGGGCGCCGGGGCCGGGCGCCTCAGTGCCCTGGGCCTGCCGCTGCTGCCGATCGGCGCCAGCGAGCGTCTGGCCTTCCGCATGCAGGCCTTCCCGCTGGACTTCGTGTCGGTCGGGGACTCGGCCCTGGATCGGGCCGCCGGCTTGGCCGCCGTCCGCCGGGTTTACCCCTTCGATGTGTCGCCGCCGGGCGCCTCGCCTTCCGGCGGCAGCGGCGACAGCCGCAGCAGCAGCAGCAGCAGCAGCAACACCACCAAAAAGGCCCCCAGCAGCGCGGCCACCGCCAAGGCTGCCACGCGTGACTACTCCGATGCCCTTGGGCGCCTGGCCGCCGGGGCCCTGCTCCGGCCCGGCGCCTCGGAGGATGGCATGCTGGATGCCGCGCGGGTGGCCGATTCGCAGTGGCATGTGGCTGATGCGCACTGGCCGGAGCTGGCCGAGCCATCGTCCTCGTCGTCGTCGTCGTCGTCGTCGTCATCGGTGGCGGCAGCCGGCCCCCTGACGCGATACCAGCTGGCGCGGGTGGCCACGCATGAGGATGGCCGCCGGCGCGTGGTCCTGGTCGGGCGCGGTGCCGACGGCTTGGCCGACCCCCCGCCCGAGCACGAGGTGCATGTGGACTTCTTCGCGCCGGCCGACCAGGCGGCCCCCTCGGAGACGGGGTGGCTGCTCGAGGCCGAGCCCTGCCCGGCGGCGGCCCTGCGCACGCGTCTTCTCCCCCGCCAGCAGGACGAGCTGGTGGCCCTGGTGCAGGCCCTGGCCCCGGGCGGGCGGGTGGCCATCCGCGACCGGTCGGGGGAGCGTGTCCTGCCGAGCCCCGGCCGCTGGTCCGGGGTCCTGCCGCGGGATGTCCTGTATGCCGGGCCGGCTGGCAGCGGCAAGTCCACCGTGGTGGCGGCGCTGGCGGACTTGCTGGGCCGGGCCCCCGGGTCCGGGCTCCAGTGGATCGAGTGCGTCCGGGAGACGGCCCTGCGGGACCTCCTCCAGCGGCGTGTGACCGTGGAGCAGGCCCCCCCGGCGGCCGGTGGCGGTGGCGATCTCCATGGCGATGGCACGCGGCATCCCTCCTCGGCCGATACATCGTGGGAGGATGCGGAGCTGGTGCGCGCGGCGCTGACCGGCGGGCTGGTGGTGCTGGACGGGGTGGACCGGCTGTCGGCCGGGTCGCTGGCGGCCCTGCAGTCGCTGGTGGCCGATCGGCTGGCCGCCCTGCCGGACGGGTCGTACCTGGTGCCGGCCGGGGCCGAGCCGGGCCTCGGGCTGGGCCTCCCGGCGGCGGGGGCCCTCTGCCGGCCGGTGCATCCGGACTTCCGCCTGGTCATGCTGGCCGGCGAGCCCGGGCCACTGGCCGGGGCCGGGTCCCCGGCCAACTGGCTCACCGACGAGGTGGCCGGGCTGTGTGATGTGGTCCGGGCGGCGGGTCGCACGCCGGCCGAGGTCCGGGCGCTGGCCCTGCGCGGGGCCCTCGGCGGTGCGGCGGCCTCCGGCCCCGTCCGGCCGCTGCTCGAGTCTTGTGTGGATGCGCTTCTGCGCGCGCGGCAGGGGCTGCTGCGGGACTTCCCGGCGGCGGCCGGCGGGGCGGATGCCGCGGTGCACGCGCGCGTGGATGACGCCCTCGGCGTGCGGCAGGTTGTCCGCACGGCCCAGGCGGTCGGGGCCATGGCGCAGCGCCGGCTGTCTGGCGGGCCCGGCGCCGGTGGCGACCTGCCCCTGGACTGGACCGCGGCCGCCGGCCGGCGCCTGCATGATGCCCTGATGCTGGCCTTCGTGCCGGCGGTGCTGGCCGCGCGGGTGGCCGCATCCGTGCGCCGGGCCACCGGCGGCCTGCTGGACCTGGACCGGGCCCGTCAGGCCGATGAGTTTGCCCTCGCCGGCGCCCGGGCCCCGGGGTCGGCTCTCGGCACGCCGGCCCCCCTGGACGGGCTGGACTCCGTGGGTTTGGCCCTGTCGGCCGACCGGACGGCCCTGGAGCTCGGCGGGTCTGGCCTTCGTGTGCCGGCCTGGCGCCCGGTGTCGGCCGAGGAATCTGGTGCGTGGGCCCGCGGACGTGCTCCTCCTCCTCCTCCTCCTCCTCCTCCTCCTCCTCGGGGGCGGCCTGCCGCCGGGGTGTGGTGTTTCATTCCTTTTTTTGCCCCGGCACCGGTCCGCCGCCCGGCAGGCACCGTTTTTGGTCGCCGGGCCCGCCGGGGCCCTGCCTCCCTGCCCCGGCCCTTGCTGACCTCTTTCGCGCGCCCCCCCCCCCCGCTCCCCCTGCCCTCCCCTCCCCGACTGCCCGGGCCCCTGGCCCCGGCGTGCAGCCCTCATCCCCCGGCCGGTGTTCACCCCGAACCAGGCCCATGCTCGGTCGCTGGCCGCGCTGGCCTTCGACTTGCGCATGTGCGGCCCGGTGGTGTGCCCCAGCTCGCTGGAGCCCCTGACCCCGGCGGCCGCCGGCTCGGCCCCGACGCATGTCCTGCTCCTGGGCAACCAGGGCGTCGGCAAGAACAAGCTGGCCGACAAGCTGTGCGACATCCTCGGCGCCCCGCGGCAGTATGTCCAGCTCCACCGCGACACCACGGCTGCCAGCCTCTTTGTCCAAGCCTCGGTACGTTGCCCCCGCCGGCCCGCCGGCCCGCCGGCCCGCCGGCCCGCCCGCCCGCCCGCTTGGCGCCGCTCGACGACTGACATCTCCCCGGGCACCTCCCTCGGCGCCCTCCCCCCTCTCCGATGGGCAGATCGAAAATGGGCACCTGGTGTTCGGCGACGCGCCGCTGGTGCGCGCCGCGCGGCTTGGCCACATTTGCGTGGTCGACGAGGCGGACAAGGCGCCGGCGCACGTGCTGGCCGCCCTGCGGCGCCTGGCCGGGACCGGGGAGGCGGCCCTGCCGGATGGCCGGCGCCTGTCGGCCGGGGCCTGGCCCCCCCCGGCGGCCGGGCCGGCCGACCCGTCGGTGGTCCCGGTGCACCCGGACTTCCGCCTGGTGCTGCTGGCCAACCGGCCGGGCTTCCCCTTCCACGGAAATGACGTGGCGTCGGCCCTCGGGGGCGCCAATGTGGCCGTGCACCCGGTCCCGGCCCCGGGGCGCGGGTCGCAAACGCGCGTGGTGTTGGATGCGGCCCTGGCGGCGGCCGGCGCGGCGGCGGCGCGCGCCGCGCGCCTCGGGCCCCAGCCGGCCATGGCCGCGGGCTGGAGCCCGGCCCCGGGGCCCTCCGGCCCGGCGCTGGACCACCAGCTGGCCGTGCTGAAGACGGTCACCCAGCTGGTGGATGGGTTCCTGTCGCCGCTGCGCTGGGCCAGCTCGCTGGATGACCTCCGGCCGCCGGGCGAGTCGGCCGCCGAGCCGGCGTACCCGTACTCGGTGCGCGAGCTGGCCGCCGTGGCCCGGCACTATGCGGCCGGGAATGCCGATCGGCTGGCGCCCGGGGCCCCTGGCGCCGGGGGCCTGGCCGCCGTGTCCGACAGCATGTGGGACTCGGTGGCCAATGTCCTGTCCTTCGAGGCCCACACCCCGGGGCTGGCCGGGCTGACGGACTGGCAGCAGGAGGCCGACCTGGCGGCCGGCGGCCTGGCCCTGGAGCCGAGCCCGACGTCGGTCTACTGGCGCGGGGTCCTCCGCCGGGCGGGGCTGCCCCTGCCGGACCCGAGCGCGGCCCCGGGCCCCGGGGCCTGGACCACGCTGCTGGACGCCAGCAGCCCGGGGCGGGTGTACCCGGCCCGGGCGGGCGCCCTCGGGGCGTCGCCCTGGCGCGCGGCCGGCCCGGGCCGGACCGTGGCCCTGCCCGGGGGCCGGGCCTCCGCGCCGGATGCCGGCCTGCCGACCAGCGCGGCGGCCGACGCCCTGGCGGCCGACTTGAACCGGCACCCGGCGGCCATGATGGGGGCCGGTGTGGCCGGGCCCGGCGAGGCCGAAGGCCCGGACCCGGAGGCCGCCGATGCCGATGCCGATGCCGATGCCGGGGGCTTCACCCTCCGGCGGGTGGACGCCTTCCGCGAGGAGGTGGCCCGCTGGACGAGCGCCTTCCCGCCGGGCATGGACCCGGCCGGGCCGGCCTCCTTCCAGGCCATGGTGGCCAGCCACCATGATCTGGCACATGGGCCGCCGGCGGGCGTGGACCCCGGGGCGTGGCTGTCGCTGGCGGCCAGCCGGGCCTCCTCCGTGTGCGCCCTGTGGGCCGGGCACCCGGAGGCCGTGCTGTTCACCCGGACCCGGGTCAATTGCGCCGGCGTGCCGTTGAATGCCGACCGGCCGGAGCGCTTCGCCCTGGCCCTCGGGCCCGGGGCCCGGGACGACCCGGTGCTCGGGGCCGGGCTCGTGTCGCATGGCGGCCTCGATGGCCAGGCCGAGACCCTGGTGCTGGCCTCGCGTGGCGGGGTCTTCACCGGGGTGCGGCTGCCGGCCGGGCCGGAGGAGGAGGAGGCACCGGCGACCCCCGGGCCGGGGCCCCACTCGGCCGGGCCCTTCGCCGGGTTGGCGCCCACCTGGCAGGCCCGCCTGCCGGCCGGCATGCGCCTGCATGGGGATCTGGTCCCGGCCGGGGCCGGGGTCATGGCTGCCCTGGCCTCGCCCGGCCCGGGGCCCGAGTCCGCCGGTGCGGTGGTGATCCTGGTGGACGCGCGTACCGGGCACCTGCGCCAGGTGGACCTGCCGGCGGCCGACCCATCGGCCGGGTGGCTGACTGGCCATACGCTGGTCGGGCTGCCGAATGGCCGCGGCGTGGCCCTCCTGCCGGGGCACACCTCGGGCAGCGTGGTGACCCTCACGCCCGGGGGGCCGCTGGCCGATGGCCAGGTCGATGTCCGGGTGGCCCGGGTGTCCGGCCCGGCCGAGGCCGGCGCGCCGTTGGTCTGGTCCAGCCGGCTCGGCCTGGGGCCTTCGGCCGGCTGCGACCTGCTTGCCCTGGACCCGGCATCGGGCATGGTCCTGTGCTTGCCGGTGCCGGAGGAGGGCCCCGAGGCCGGGGGGTCTGCGCGGTCGGTGGAAAGCTGGGTCCTGCCGGGCGAGGCGCTGGCCGAGCCGGCGGCGCACTTGCCGGGGCCGGGGTCCGGCGACCGGCCGGTGGCCGGCCCCTGGGTCGGGCTCCCCGGGCAGGGGATCTTCCTCCGGGGGACCCCCTCCGGCCGGCCGGCCCCCGGCCCGGGGTTCACCGGGGCCGCCGGGGCCAACCACTGGCAGTCGTTCTTCCGCCGGGGCGGGGCCGCCGGGGGGGCCGGGCCCCGGGCCGGGCCGCGGCCGGACCTGACGCTCGACGTGCTGGATGTGTCGGAGCTGGGCCGGCGGGCTGATGGCCGGGCCAGCGGCCGGCAAATTCGCCTCCCCCGGGCCCTGCACCTGGCCGAGGGCCAGACGTCGGTGCAGCTGGCCGGCGCCTCGGCCGCATGGAGTCTGGCCCCGGTGGCCGGGGACCAGGTCCTGGTGTCGGTGGCCCGGGCGGCCGGGCCCGCGGCCGGGCCCCAAGTGCAGACCATCTTGCTGGAGGCGCGGACCGGGACGGTGGCCGGCTCGCGGGATGCCCATGCCCGGGCGGCCCTCTCGGCCCGGTATGGGGCCGGCACGGCCGGCGGCGGGCGGCTGGCCGCGGCCGGCGGCGACCCGCTGGACGTCCAGCTGGGGGAGGACTACTTCGGCGCGGAGCCCGGCTCGCAGGAGCCCGGGGCCGAGGGCGGCGACCACAATCCGCCCCCGGTGTCGGATCCCCGGCACGGGGAGGTCGACGACCTGGAGCACATCGGCGGCGGCCGGTATGCCGGGGGGTCCGGCGGGTCGAACACCGCCGGGCTCGGCGGCCGCGGCGGCCCGTACCGCCTGCGCAAGCGCAACCAGCGGGTGGTCCAGCTGGATGAGGCCCGGCGGCGGGATGTGTCGGAGGAGGCGCTGCGCCGGGCGCGCGCCCTCGGGCAGCGCGCCTTCGCCGAGCGCCTGCAGGCCATCGACGCGTCGCACTCCGGGCCGGAGGCGGCCCGGGCATATGCCGACATCCTGAGCCGCATCCGGCCGGACGCCGCGCGCCTGGCCCGGGTGCTGGAGACGGCCGATGAGCGGCGGCTGCGCCTGCGCGCGCAGGGCCCCGATGCCGATGACGAGGCCGGTGCGGGGGAGGCGCCGCGCGAGCGCGAGTGGCGCTCCGGCTGCGCCGACGGCGAGCTGGACGAGGGCCGCCTGGTGGACGGCCTGGCCGGGGACAACCGGGTCTTCCGGCGCCGGGTCGAGTCGGACGAGGTGTCGCCGCTCTTCACGCCCCCCCCTCCGCCGTCGCCCCCGCCCGAGGAGGAGGAGGAGGAGCAAGACCCGCAGGCCGACGACCAGGACACCGACGATGAGGCTGGCCGGCGGCCGCCCCCCCGGCGCCTGCGGCTGTTGGTGGACTGCAGCGCGTCCATGTACCGGTTTGACGGGCTCGACGGGCGCCTGGCCAGCACCATCGACTCGGTGGCCCTGGTGCTGGAGGCCCTGGCGGCCCTGCCCGGGTGTGTGGTGGCCCTGCCGGCCGATGGGCACGGGCGGCCGGCCCCGGCGTCGGCCTACGGCCCGGACGTCCGCCTGGTGGTGGATATCCTCGGGCACTCGGGCGACTCGGCCGGGTTCGACCTGCTGGCGGCCGGGCGGCCGGCCGGGCCGAGCGGCACCGCGGCAGCCCCCCCACGGGCAGGCGCCTCGGTCCGGCGCTTTGCCGATTTGTCGCACGCCGACCGGATGCGGGCCCTGTGGCGCCTGGCGGCGCACACGCAGTACTGCTCCAGCGGCGATTGCACCCTGGAGTCCATGGGCCGCAGCGTGCGGGAGCTCAGCCCGCCGGTCGAGTCGGCCGGGTCCGGTGACGACCTGTCGGCGGCCGGGCTGTGGTCGGACACCGTGGTTTTGGTGCTGACCGATGCCAACTTCGGCCGGTATGGCATCGGCTCGCGCGACCTCCTGCCGTACCTGGTGGGCGGGGGTGGTCGGGCGGCGGCGGCGGCGGCGGCCGCCTCGGCCGTCGGCCTCCAGCCCAATGACCGGACGCGCACCATGCCACGCATGTTCCTCCTGCTGCTGGGCGAGCATGGCGCCCGTGCCGGGGATCTGGCCACCGAGCGGACCCTGCGCCGGCTCCGGCCCACCGGGCGTGTGCTGGACATCCACGAGACGGCCCGGCTGCCGGGGGTCTTGCGCAAGGTCCTGGCTCGCGAGGCCGCTGTCGAGGAGCCTGCTGCTTGAGTGTGCCGCCCGGCGTCTCTCTGGCTGTTGTGTCCGGCTGTTGTGTCCGCCATTCCTTTGGCCATGTTCCGGCGCCAGGGCTCCGAGCAAGCCTGCTTGCCACGCCCAGGTGCGCCGGTGATGCACAAATGGACAAATGCATAAATGATGTACGCAGATGCACGCAGATGTACGCAGATGTACTCGGATGTACTCAGATGTACTCGGCTGTATAGATGTACTCGGATGTACTCGGATGTATAGGTGTACTCAGATGTACTCGGCTGTATAGATATACTCAGATGAATAGATGCACCAATACACCAATACACGAATGCACCAATACACGAATGCACCAATACACGAATGCACCAATACACGAATGCACCAATACACGAATGCACCAATACACGAATGCGCCAATGCACCAATGGGCAAAGACACAGCCACACAAATGAGCGGAAAGGCAGCGTACAGACACGCAATGGCACACATATGTGCCTACCGGTGCACCTTCCAGGCCAGGCCGCGTGCTCCCTGCCCGCCCGGGCGACCCCCCCCCCCTCCAGCCGGCCGGCCGGCCCTCCAGTGTGATTGTGGGCCAAGTTCGGCGGCAGCTGAGCTGGCGCACGTGATCCCGCTGTTAAGAAGCCACTGCCCAGAGCCGGCCGCCGCGGTACCGCGAGAAGGGCACCATCGGCCGGGGTGGTTGCGCGCGCGCGCATGGGTTCCCCCCCCCCCCCCCCACCACCAAGACCTCCGGAGGCGGGGGATGGAATTCTTGGCACCTCATAGACTGGCACCGACACAGCGCCGTGCATTGTTTTCCCCGCGCCCCGGATCGCGCTCGGGCCTTCGGCGCTTCGGCAAAATGTCCCCTTCCCCCCAGGCGCGGCGGTTTTTCCCGCCGCCTCGTCAAAAACCGGAAGTGGCAGGCGCCATGGCGGGGGACCAGGCCCAAA